GGATACGTAGGCATGCGAATTAAAAACTTTGGCAAGTTCCCCTAACTAAAAAATTAAAACCCTATCCTACCCTCTTAACCTAAACCCTAGGACTTCCTTGAGAATAAGGTAGATAAAGGGTGTCTAACATCTTTCCTTCGTATAAAGTGAATCAAGAACTTAGAATCTCTGTACAATTGAGGTTATTCCATTATTCACCCGTCGTTAGAACAAAAAATAGTGGTGGCGACCCGTTATTTTTTACCGGTTACAACAACGATTTTCGACGAGCCTAGGTTTTCTGTGAAATTCCATATTATATTGTAATCTTGTGTTGGGTTTTATGATGATAATGGTTTAATCTCCAACGGCGAGAGCGGTGACAATGGGACGATGAAGGCCAAAGAAGTAGGTTTCAATGTCATCAATGACTCGTATAATCAAAACACAGTCAGCAACGGTAGAAGGTATAACAGAGTCACAAGAGGTGAATGATGACACAAATGAAGAGGAGTACTGATGGCGAGTAAGGAAAGGGGGAAAACTTAGGGTTTGGATCTCTGGAAAAAACCTAATGACGAGGGAAAACGACTATGGGTGGATGTAATCAGAGGAAACTGAGTCACAACAAATGGAAATACAGTTCGTGGCACCGAATTTGGTTGATGGAGAGATGAAAGTTGAAATTGTGAATGAGGATGATGAACCATAAGTGCTATTTTGGGAAACAACAGTGACTGTGTATGTCTTAGAGGGGGACTTGAGCATGAATGCAGTCAAGAACTATATAAACAAGTTTTGGAACTTTGTGCAGCTATCTGAGATATTTTACAATGAACAAGGATACTTCATAATGAAGTTCTAAATGGTGAATGTAACACCCCACACATATCATTGCCTTGGATAATACGTATATGGCATTAAAACGGTACATGAAAATCATATATAAGCAGCAGAACTAGATAAGTATTAGTACAAGTAAAAAAGTCAGACAAAATTATGGCAAAAACATACAAATCCCAATAAGTACTAATACATAATCCAAGAGTACATAAACTTAAAGATAGAAAAGGAAATGGAACATCGCAAAGAAACATCGTCGGGAAGCTAAGTCATCTTATCCTTGCCTTTGTCCTGCCTCGAATAACCTATAAAATAATAATAATTGGAATGGGGTGAGATTACTAAATCTCCCTATCTTAAAGGTTCACTCGATTCTACAAGGTTCATGCATCAAATGGGTCCACCAAGGATTCAAGTTTTCTTACGGTCCGATACAAGTACACAAGAAAAGGTAACATCACCATTGGAAGTCCCTTGACTAACCAATGAGACAACAACAAGCACACAACTAAACAATATGTATGAAGACTCGTACCCCGCGTACGAAGAATCCAAATGTAAGTTCTACATGTCTACCTAGGCCCACCCTGCTACACCCTCGATGAGTATCCAAGTGCATCGCGTCAAGAGACTTGCACATGCACACCACTAGATGAATCAGATAAGTCTTAAGTGGAATTTCATAAGTGACAAGTTACTGCAGTGACATTGCCTAAGTAGCGTCACGAACCCACCAATCATCCATACGCAGGTGAGTGAAGACCAAGTGCAATTACTCCATCTTGACAGCATAAGCCCACCGGGCGAAAGCCTAGTGATATTGCCTATTTGGCATCACTAGAGGTGAGTAAATCCTAAGTGATGTAGTCTACATGGCATCACATCCTCACTATACCAAGCACACAAATGAGTGAAGACCAAGTGGGGAAACGCCCTATAAGACCCTCACATGCACATCACAATGGTAGCTCATGTGTGTATGACGTACCAAGAATACTGAAGTATTTCCATTAGAGATAGGGTCTTATTTCATACCTTCCCAGCACATTGCAACGATAAAAATTCAGACACACTATCCATAATCATAAGAGATTTACTACCTAGTAGCATAGGTATAATTTGATTCAAGCATACATCGAAATCATAACACACATCAAGCCACATAGGCAAGCATCCCCGAACGTTCAACCGGAACAGACGAAAAATCCAAAAATGACCACAACATATCATTTCAACATATTGCATTCATTAATCATACATAATTATAAGATTAACACATAAGTGATCATACGTGGTATTACACATTCCACAATACCATTCTATAAGTTTCAAAAGACTAAGGAGGCATTCAGTTCCCTCTACAGAACTGAACTACCCTCAGGGGAAGAAACATACAAAATTCTATTCACAAGGGTCTGTCAAAAGGGGTTTTGACGCGCTTAGGAACGAAATGTTGGTATCAAAAATAATTTTCTAAAATAGTACATTTTAATAACTTTCTAACGATACAAACCACACGTCAATCGGACATCCGAAACAAAAGTTACGAATTTTCAAAGTTTAAAAAATTTCAGTTTGACTCAGTGATAACCAGTTACCCTCATACTGGTAATTGGGTACACCCTGTGCATAATCAGTTTTTTGCGCTTTTCCTTCTACATAACCAATTTTTCCCTAAACCAAATAGTCTCAAACACCACTTTTCACAAGCAATCAACAATATTTAGAATATAGATCATAGGGATGATGTATGTACAAGTTATTATGCTAATGGGGTCATATTCATGCATAGAAAGGATTATTGATGAAGACCTTCACTCAAAACCCTCATCCCCAACATAAATCCCCAAAACCCCAAGTCTATATCTAGAGACTCACCTTAGAGATGAAGGATTTGCTGCAAAACAGAGATGAAGTGATGAGGAAACTTGACTAAGCTTGCATGCAAGATGAGTTGATGAAGATTGAGCTTGAAAATGGACTTTCTTCCTCTTTCTCCCTTTCTCACATTTCTTTCACTCTTCCTTCCAACAACAAAATCTGATTTTTGTGATAAATGAGAAAATGAGACAACACCAGACAAACCCCTAATTTCGCCAGATTTATGGATGACTTGTTGTCGATTTGCAACACAAGAGGTTTCTTCACTTCGACCTTCATTTCTTCAAGTACTGATCTGATCCAAATTGCTTGACATGTAACATTGGATCTTGTTATATATTCAACTTCACACGATGATAATGCCACCCAAAGTTGCTTTTTCGAGCAGCATGAGATCGAAGCACCAAATACTTGAAAGGATTATCCAGTTGTGCTTTTTCGATCTTTCTTATCTCCACACTAATTAGCATATCAAAAACGATTAATTGTAGCTTCTTTGCTTTCAAAGTTTTGTCGAAATAGTATTCCATAATTTATCAATCCTTTTAAGTATCTCAGGATTCTTCTTGTAGCCTTCATGTGTGACACCCTTGCTCACTAATCTGACTGCGAAACCTATATCAGGTCGATTGTTGCACAGATACCTCAAAGATTCCATAATTTTCTTAAACAAAGTTACATCAACTTTATCTTCCTCTTCATTCTTCTCCAACTTCACATTTAGTTCGACGCGTGAGGATGCATGATTTGAATTATCCATTCTGAATCTCTTGAGTATCTCTTTGACATATTTCCTTTGATGTAGCACCATACCTTTCTCCGACATTTGAAATTCCATGCCTAGGAAATAAGAAACTTTTCCCAGATCCGACATTTCAAATTCCTTCATCATCAACTCTTTGAACTTCGACAAGTTCTCCAAGCTATTTCCAGTTACTAGAAAGTCATCGACATATAAGCAGATGATTGTTATATCTTGTGCTATAAATTGAACATAAACACCATACTCTGATTTGCATTTGACAAATCCCAGTTCGACTAAGTATGAGTCGATCTTCTTATTCCATGCCCTAGGTGCCTTCTTGAGGCCATAAAGCGCTTTGTGCAACTTATATACTTTACTCGCTTCCTTCTGAATCACAAAACCTGGATGTTGTGTGACATAGACCTCTTCGTCTAAAGGACCATTCAAAAATGATGATTTCACATCTAAATGAAATGTCAACCAACCTTGGTTACATGCCAAGGATACCACTAATCGAACATTCTCTAATCTTACTACTGGAGAAAATACTTCAAAGTAGTCGAGTCCTTCTCTTTGAAGAAAACCTTGAGCTACTAATCTTGCTTTATGTCTTGCTATCGACCCATCAACATTGTGTTTCAACTTGAACACCCACTTTACTTCGATAGCTTTTGTATGTGCTGGCAATTCGACTAACTCTCATGTGTTGTTTCTTTCGATTTCCTATAACTCTTCGACCATACTAGAATCCCACTGTTTAATCATCAAAGCCTCATTATAGTTGATTGGTTCAACACCTGCAAGTAAAGCAAAATGAATTAATTCTCCATCTGGTGTAGTTCATCATCACCAACCACTTCATAATCATGAAGTCTTGTTGGAAGAACTCTAGTTCTTTGAGGTCTCTGGCTTGTACCATCCAAACCCTCTTCGACTTCGAATACTTCGTCTTTTCTCTTGTTCACATAGATCCACAACTTTCGACTAAACTCATCGATAAACGAAACAAAATACATGTTTCCACCAATGGTATGCTCTTCGAACGAGCTACATACAACTGAATGTACCACTTCGAGTATGGAGGATGATCTTATTTGCATAGTCGAAATGAAGGAATTTCTGGATTGCTTTCCGACTAAACAACCTTCACAAAATTTTGTACTCCTTTCATCTCAAAATATTTATTATACTACACTTTCACATAGATTAAGAAAATACGATAAATAAAAAAGAGAGAATAATAATTTTACAAAACTATCTCGTTAATTATTAATATATTCAAATTACCATTAATACAAGAAAAGAGAAATAATAAATTAAAAATATTAATTAAAAAATATAATTAAAAAATAAAAACTAAAATTGCATTAAAACTAGAAGCACATTTATTTTGGAACAATTTTATCATTATATTATTTTATGTTTAAAGAAAACATGCACTAACTCAAGAGCATAATATGGAGTCCTCTTTCCTCTTAATAAACAACCCAATTGACTAAAAAAATTGAAACTGCGTCCAAAATCGAACCTTGGTGAATCTGATCCTTTAGGAATGACACAGAATTGGAACCAAACGGCTCTTCTTGTGATCGATATGCAGGTAGTTATTATGTTCTATATCTTTCCTTAGGATTTTTTTTTTGTGTGGAGAAATTAAAGATTCTGTATATGTTTTTGTTTGCAGAAAGATTTTATAGAAGATGGAAGTCCTATGTTAGTAAAAGGAGGGAAAGATATTGTCCCAAATGTGATTAAGGCTGTTGAAGTTGCTAGAAAACGTGGAATTCTCATTGTTTGGGTAATAACTCTTCACTCTTCACTCTTTTCCTTTTTTTTTTTTTTGCTATGCTATGGATTGTTTATGCTTCAATGGGCTTTACCTAAGTATGCTTCCATCAATAAAATGGATCTGATTAAGTTTAGTTTATTTATTTTTTTCAAATTGTGTTGTGTTTTCGGTGTCGGTGTTTCATAGCCCTGAAATGAGTATTATACTATGCAGTACTCATACTTTAGATTGAAGACATGTCTGGTGTCTTGTGGGCTGTGGCTTCATACAATCACTTCAATTTTCTCAAGTTTAGTATTAACGGGTGAGCATTTAGTCTTAATGTTGTGTCTGACATGATATTTGTGTTTTATAGGTGCTATTAATCATTGATTAACTATAAATCACTATAGAGTATAAAATGATTATAATAATTTGTAGTGTAGTACCGATACTTCATATTAAAGACATTTCTAGTTTTGAACATGTGTTAGTATCTTCTGGGTTGTGGCTTCATACAATCACTTCAATTTCCCAAGTTTAGTATCAATTTGTGAGCGTTAGTGTTAGTGTTATGTCTAGTATCTATGTTTTATAGGTGCTAAATTTTTCACTTACTCTCCTCAATTTAGAAGAATCAAATCCAATGTTAATAGTTCATTCACAAAATAAATCAAGAAGTCAAGATATCTAAACAAGTGAGATTTCTAAAGAAAGTTTGATTGTTCTCCCTTTTCTATATATTTTCGCCATTTCATAGAAAAGGCACAAATTGTTGTTGGCCGCATCAATTGACGTCACAACAATATCAAGACATGATTGTAGACCACTATACCTCATCAGTTGCAGATATTCAACACAATAGTTCTTCAATTTCTGAATTGTGTCTATCTCAAATTGTTTTAGGTAGTGCGTGAACATGATCCCTTGGGAAGAGATGTTGAACTCTTTCGCCGACATCTATATACAGCAGGGAAAGTTGGTCCGACCACTAAAGGAAGTGAAGGTGCAGAATTAGTTGATGGGCTCGTCATTAGAGAAGGGGATTTTAAACTTGTGAAGACAAGGTTTAGTGCCTTCTTTTCTACACATCTTCATTCAGTTCTTCAACGAGAAGGAATCAATAGTCTGGTGATCACTGGTGAGTAAACAGTCCAAATGCATAACACGAGCTTACTATTTTACGTTTGAGAAATGATTTTTTTGCAACAACTTTCGTTGGTCAATTAAAAATTGTCCGAAAAGTCGTCAAACTTTAACTGTTCGAATAAGGCAACCGTCTGTGCTTATGCATTCACTTAGTATAGCTTTTTGTAGGTGTTCAAACTCCGAACTGCATACGGCAAACTGTTTTTGATGCTGTAGCATTGGACTATCAACATGTAACTGTTCTTTTTGATGCCACAGCAGCAGCCACACCCGATATTCATCTTGGTATGTATTATCGATTTCTTGAAAGTCTTGCAATTATCTGGAACTTTATTTAGATTGTAACGATGAGTATTTTTTGGATGGTTTCAGCCAATGTGATTGACATGAAAAACATTGGAGTTGCAACACCAACATTACAAGAATGGAGTGAATCCAAAGCTTGATCTGTATGGACCATGCATTATGCAACTTTTTGCTGCATGTGGTATTCAATTTCAAGATTCAAAGGCATTGATATCTTGTGAAAAGATGTGTTGTTTCAACATCAAAATATAAACACATTATGTGATATATTTTTCTTTAAAAAAAACATGTGGACTTCTTCAGCATTGATGATTATGCTGTTTTCATGAGCAGTTTTGTCGAATAAATCATCGCAAGAATCAGTAGGAACATGAGTTTTTCATGGTCCACCTAAAAAACATCATTAATGTCTATCACAGTACTTTTTTTCTTTTGTAAAAAGAGGGCCCTTTGTGTTTTAATAGATTACTTTACTGGTTTTTTTGTGTGTTAACAAACAGATCTATTAGCAATTGTTTTTTCTTTTTAAAAAACCAGGAAACAATACAAATTGCAGGCGAACACAACTTACACTGTTGCACCACCAACAACACATGCAACGGTTTAATCATTCTAAACATAAATTCCAGCGCAATAATTACCTAGCAGTCAAGAATTAGAGCCTCAAACACAAGCCTCTACGCCAGTCCAACCTGATTTACACTGCAGACTTTAATAGACTATTGTTTGATAGGGAGAATTTGATTTCCTTTTTTGTTTCTCTTACTCGTGAGGTCTTAAGGATTTTTCGTGTTCTCTCTACTACGTTTGATCTCACACTTTGTTGACCATTCCCCTCAGTTTTGTGATTATTAAAAGCAACAATGTTGACTACTTTTTTACAGTGTTTACTTGTTCTTCGCCGGGATTGTTGTGGTAATTGTCATGGGAAACTCAAAAGATAGTGTTTTCGTCAAAGAGAGAGATGTTACTATCGACCTTGATCTTTTAGAAAAATTGTTAGGAGTTTTGCTTTTCCAGCTTTTCCCTTAGCAAATCAAGACTGTGCAGGTGATTTCAAACAGGAACAAAAAGCTAAAACTTACATCAGAGTGCATTGGCATGTTTTCGGTTGTAACCTTACTGATAATAAAATATTAGGTGCAACATCTTTGGTAAGGTAATAAATGACTTGCCTTTTTTACTTCACCTGTTAGGTACCGACAGTAACAAATAAATTTAAGACAAAAGGATAGAAGTTGATAGAAATTAATGGCTATTATTGTATGATGGTAAGAAGATTTACAGAAGATTCAATGATCTAACTGCCACAGAGCTAGGCTCCTATGGAGTGCTTAACAGCCCCCCATCCAATGATTGCTAAATGAATCTTCTAGCGTACGTCCCCAATTCCCTTACCTCCTCATTTATTGTAACCGTCTAACAATATTTGCTAAAGCCACTACTCTCTCTCTGCCACCTCATAGCTATCACATGGTGTGAGATCCTTTTTTCCTTCTAGAATAAACCTGCCAGATCTTAGCACTCCTAGGCCCAATATGATTTGTCATTTCTATATCTGGCCCATCTTTCTTCACTTGGTCCCTAACAATACCTCCTTCTAGAAAAGCTACCTTGTCCTCAAGGTTAAATTCAGGAAATTGCTTTGTTATGGTTTCCATGTCTTCCCAAGTAGCCTCGTCCGCCGCCCTATTAGTCCACTGAATTAAAACTTGTTTAACTCTCTGTTCTCCTAGCCCGTTGAAACGTGTGTCTAAAACTCCTTCAGGCACAAACTGCTCCACACAACTCCCTTCAACTTCTTGGGGCAATTCACTTTCCACTGCATAATCTCCAACTGCCCTTTTTAACAGAGAGACATGAAAAACTGGGTGTACTCGTGATCCCTCAGGTAATTTCAGCTTATACGCAACAGCTCCAATCCTCTCCACAATCTGAAACGGGCCATAATATCTAGCTGCCAATTTAGCATTAATCCTAGATACCACGGATTGCTGCCTGTGTGGACGAAGCTTCAAAAACACCCACTCTCCAATATTAAAACTGGACTCTGTCCTCTTCTCATCTGTAAAATACTTCATGCGGTCTTGAGCTCTTTGGAGATGAGCTCTCAACTGCTTGAGTGCTTCATCCCGTTCTTCCAACTCTTTTTGAACTGCAGCCACCCTTGTCTCACCTTGCAAGAGTCTTGTAATAACAGGAGGCTTCCTTCCGTAGACTAACTCAAAAGGTGTACTCCCCGTGGACGCATGAAATATTGTATTAAACCAAAACTCTGCCCATGGAATCCAAGTCAGCCAGGATTTTGGTTGGTCCGCAATGAAACATCTCAAATAAGTCTCCAAACATCGATTGACAACCTCCGTTTGGCCATCCGTTTCCGGGTGATAGGCTGAACTCATCTTCAAAGTGGTACCTTGCAGCCTGAAAAGTTCAGTCCAAAAATTACTGATGAACAGAGGATCACGGTCACTAACAATGGCTGTAGGTAAACCATGAAGTCGTATAACTTCTTTGGCAAAAATTTCAGCTACTGTTCTAGCAGTATAAGGTCTCTTAAGAGGGATGAAATGACAATATTTTGACAGCCTATCTACTACCACAAACACAGCTTCAAACCCACGGGATTTCGGCAAACCTGTGATAAAATCCATTGAGACCTCTTCCCACACTGCTGAGGGAATGGGCAGAGGTTGTAATAAACCCCCAGGTGCGATAGCTAAGTACTTTTATCGTTGACACACATCACAAGCCTTCACATAGGCTTGCACTCTTGCTTTCATACCTATCCAATATACATTAGCAGCTAAACGTCTGTAGGTGCGATAAAACCCAGAATGCCCACCTTCCGGAGTAATATGAAATTCAGCCAACATCTTGGGAATCAATGAAGATTGTGCAGATAACACTAAACGATCCTCATAAAATAAAACCTCTTGTTTGTACTTAAATCCTGGTCTTGAATCTGGTTTTTCTTCCAATTCCTCTATGATTTTCAGCAGAACCTTATCCATGTGGATTTCTTCCTGTATCACATTGCCTTCCTCCCAAATTGGATATGAGACCAGAGCTGCTAATTCACCTTCAGGTAATCGGGATAGAGCATCTGCCCCTCTATTCTCCACTCCTGGCTTATATACGATATCAAACTGATAACCGAGCAATTTAGTGGCCCAATTCTGCTGATCCGGTGTCGTAATCTTTTGTTGCCATAATTGCTTCAAACTCTTTTGATCTGTTGTCACAGTGAAATGTCTGCTCAACAAATAAGGGCGCCAATGTTGTACCGCTAAAGCTACTGCCATTAGTTCTCTTTCATATGCAGACTTAGCCAAATTCTTTCCTCCTAAAGCCTTGCTAAAAAAAGCAATGGGCTTTCTCTCTTGCATTAATATCGCCCCCAGACCCACTCCGGATGCATCACATTCTATTGTGAACTCCTTTTCAAAATCCGGCAAAGCAAGTACGGGGGATGTTGTCAGCTTCTGCTTTAAAATTTCAAAAGCCTTTTGAGCTTGAGTCCCCCATTTGAACCAGTCCTTCTTTGTCAACTCTGTCAATGGCTTGGCAATCTTCCCATAATCTTTAATAAACTTGCGGTAGTAACCCGTAAGGCCTAGAAATCCTCTCACCCCTTTAACGTTCTTAGGTATAGGCCATTGAATTACACTCTGCACCTTCGAGGGATCTACTGCTACACCACTTCCTGTGATCAAATGACCGAGATACTCAACTGTTTTCTGGCCAAACTGACACTTTTTTTATTAGCAACCAGTTTATGTCTCCTCAAAATCTGCAACACTTTGGTTACTTCAAGAATATGTGTCTGCCACGATTTACTATAAATGAGTATGTCGTCAAAAAAAACTAACACAAACTTCCTCAATAAGGGCCTGAACACCTCGTTCATCAAGGATTGGAATGTGGATGGAGCATTCATCAATCCAAACGGCATCACAAGGAATTCATAATGTCCGTCATGAGTACGGAAGGCCGTCTTATGAACATCCTCCGGTTTCACCCTCACTTGATGGTACCCGGACTTTAAATCAAGCTTGGTGAAATATTGAGCCCCATGTAACTCATCGAGTAACTCGTCTATCACCGGTATTGGAAACTTGTCTGGTACGGTGGCCTTGTTAAGGGCACGATAATCAACACACATTCGCCATGTCCCGTCCTTCTTCTTTACCAGTATAACGGGACGAGAAAAAGCGCTGCAACTGTGTTGAATAATTCCCATCTCAAGCATCTCCTTAATCTGTTTTTTTATTTCATTTTTCTGGTGGTGTAGGTACCTATATGGTCCGACATTGACTGCACCTTGTCCTGCCCTTAAATTGATAGCATGGTCCCTTGAGCGACATGGAGGAAGACCCTTAGGTTCTTGGAACACGTCATCGAAAGATTTCAATACTTCCTGCATAACGGATTGCTCTAACACTACCTCTGCCCGCCCTTCCGTGTTGCTCAACGTTGCATCTAGTGACCATCCTTTCTTGCCGTAGCCTTTGCTAGTCTTCCCTACAATGCTTTGCAATGCCGGTATTGCTTCAGATGTTCCTTCTATCCCTCTCAACATTACCCACTTCCCCTCATGCCAAAACTCCATTGTTTGTTTATTCCAATTAACTATCATATCTCCCAAAGATTTCAACCATGCCATACCCACAACTACATCCACCCCATCTAAATCAAATAGATACGCCTCAATTTCACAGGTGACTCCCCCAGTTTTGAATAAAACTTGAGTACACTTTCCTCTAGTAATGGTTTGGAACCCGTCACCCAATTTGATTCTAAAATCTGGTGTGGTCTCTACTTGCCACCCTAACTTCTGAACCATGGACTTCGCAACGAAATTATGCGTATCCCCACTGTCAACCAACACCACCACCGGTACGCCATTGATCGTTGCTCTGAGTTTGAGTGTATGAACTTTGTCGTGTTGGGACTCTTTCAGTTCAAAGAGACTCATAACACTCATCTCTCCACGGTGCTCCTCTTCAGATTCCTCCACCTCTACCGCCAACAACTTCACTTCATCATCTCCTCCTTCCTCCTCCTCCACAATCATGACACGAAGCTGCTTGTCTGGGCACTGATGGAGAGGATGATATGGGCCCCCACACTTGTAACA